TTTGTGTGGGTTGTTTTGTTTTTTTTTTTTTTTTTTTTTTTTTTTCCCCCCCCCCCCCCCCCCCCCCCATTTTTCTTTCTTCTTCATGAACGTGGAAAACTTCTCCTTTGATCAGGTCTCCTGGCTCCAGTCACCATGTTATCTGAGCTCAAACCTTGCTGATTTTGTCTTTTTTGCCTTTTCCTCCACCTTCTGATGAAAGAAATCCAGTGTTGGGAGATCTGTGTTAGATGGGCAGGGGAGGTTCCCCCTCCTCCCCAGACATGAAACAGGGAAGAGGAGGAAAAAGGGAAAATAAGTTGTTTGAACTACATTGGAAACTCAGTAGGCTGGAGAAGTTGTCTATTTAGGTGAGTTGATGGTTTCTACCATTAGTACTATTTTTAGGGAGACACTAATAATTCTAGAAGAACTTTGGGGTTTGGAGGTTATTGTGTCTTTCTCCTTGTCTTTAAGTTGTAGGGAATGTGAGACTACACAACGGAAAGTGTTACTGCATTCTGGGGTATATTCTTTGGAGTGGGACTAACGTGAGTTTTCCTAAATGTGTCTAATAAGCCTTTTTGGGTTCCGTTTGTATAGTTGAGGGTTGTGTTGGTCAATCTCCAAGGCACTTCATTTTTTTGTCAAACTTCCTGTAAAACTGAGATGCCATTAGTAGACTGTAGTAGCACTTGTGAACATAAAAAGCAGTTTAGATGCGTATGCAAGGAGAAAATGGTGACAAAATGATTTTTCTAAGGTCTCTGTTTGGAAGAACTGTATTTCATGCAGAAAACATGAAAGTAGCAGACTTCCACATGCTTTTGTTCTGCTGAAACAGATGTTTTGGAGATTTTTTTTGTTGTTGTTGAGCTTTTTTTTGTGCTAAGTAGTGGGACTTTAGGATTTGCCCTAATTTGATAGAACTTGAGGTACAGAACTCTCTTTTCTTTCACTGAAGTCTCATAATTTTTACCTCCATCAAAAAATAAATGATCTAAGAAGTCATGGAACATTATTTCCCCTAGACTTACCAGTATGCAGGTACTGGGGCAGTTTATTAGTTGTATATTGCAATGCTTGTTTGTATAATAAGTAAGAACACTGTTACTATGAAATGGTGAATTAATTCAGCACTTGGACCACTTACTTGTAAAGTAGAGTGTTTTCACTGCACCTAGCAACTGTTGTTCAGACTTGGCAGAAAGGAAGTGTTGGCAGTGTATAAGTTTATGGGGACAGAAGACCCAAACCAGAAATGGGGGGGGGAGTAGAGAGTTGTACTGCCCAGTATTTAAAAGCATACAAGCTTTTCTAAGCCTCAGACAACCAATTAAAATAAGCAGTCACCTCTCTTTTTCACCTGACTTCTTCAGAAGTAAGCTAGTGAGGTGCAGCTTTTAGTAATATTCTGTATGCTTCATTAGTTCAGTAGTGTCAGTGGCCTTTCTCTACTCAGTATACTTTAGAAGTAAGATTGAAGCTTTTGATTTGCTGTGGTGTTGTTTACTAGCAGCTGAGACCAGAGACCTAAAGAGTTTTAAGTAGAGGATAATTCACTGATGCCTTCACAGTATACTCTTCAGCAGCCGTAGCTGGCCAGTGGCTTTATCTGACCCAGTCTTTTGAATTTGGAGGTTAGATTTTGGTTATCATCAGGAGACTCTTCTAGCACTGCTAAGAGATGACACCTTCATGGCTATATGAAATGACAAAAAAACCCCTGCACCAGTTTTTGCTACAGTTCTTCATAATGCGTCTGTGACGTATGTGGGTGACCTAGCTAGGCTGGACGCTGTAGTGGTGGAACAGCTTGTTCCCTTTGGATGGTGTTTGATAAGAGACAGAAATCAGTAGGGTGAAAAACACATCTGAGGGAAGAGACAGGTTCCACTAGATGTTTGAGGGTGCAGATTTGCCACCTAGATGTTGCTGTGACTGATTCTATAGTTTTTGGTGGGAGCCAGGGTTAACTTCCTAGGAAGTAGATAAGAAAAAAATGGTTGACAGGGCTACCTGTTTTTTGGAAAAAGAAAATAATGTTCATATAGATATGAAAAGTAGCGCTGTCAAGTGACATGTAATTGAGGGAGCAAACCATTGTCTCGTGGAAGATAGGTTTATTTTTATACAGTTAAAATATTTTTCTGGTAAGAATCTATATGCTCTATAATGAGTGTGCTAGAGGACATTACTGTGATGGGATGTCCAGTACGTTGCGATAATACAAAGAGGTCATTGCTGCTTTATCATATAAGGGGGTTTTAGAATCGTAGAATGTTTTGGGTTGGAAGGGACCCCTAGAGGTCATCTAGTCCAACCCGCCTGCAGTGAGCAGGGACACTGCTAACTAGATCAGGTTGCTCAGAGCCCTGTCCAACCTGGCCTTGAATGTTTCCAGGGATAGGGCCTCCACTACCTTTCTGGGCAACCCGTTCCAGTGTTTCAACACCCTCATTATAAAGAATTTCTTCCTTATATCTAGTCTAAACCTACCCTGGTTTAGTTTAAAACCATTACCCCTTGTCCTGACACAGCTGGCCCTACTAAAAAGATTTTCCCTGTCTTTCCTATAGGCCCCCTTTAAGTACTGAAAGGCCGTAATCAGGTCTCCCCGCAGCCTTCTCTTCTCCAGGCTGAACAAGCCCAACTCTCTCAGCCTGTCCTCATAAGAGAGGTGCTCCAGTCCTCGGATCATTTTTGTAGCCCTCCTCTGGACCCACTCCAACAGTTCAATGTCCTTCTTGTGCTGAGGGCTCCAGAGCTGGACGCAGGACTCTAGGTGAGGTCTCACCAGAGCAGAGTAGAGGGGCAGAATCACCTCCCTTGACCTGCTGGCCACGCTTCTTTTGATGCAGCCCAGAGTACGGTTGGCCTTCTGGGCTGCCAGCGCACATTGCCAGCTCATGTCCAGCTTTTTGACCACCAGCACCCCCAAGTCCCTTTCGGCAGGGCTGCTCTTGATCCTTTCTTCCCTCAGCCTGTACTGATACCGAGGGTTACCCCGACCCAGGTGCAGGACCTTGCACTTGGCCTTGTTGAACCTCATGAGGTTCACACAGGCCCACCTCTCTTTCTATTATTAATCTGTCTCCAATAGCATCTTCTTAAAAATTTAGTCTTTTGTGGCTTTGCTGGGGGAGGTACTTTTGGAGAGTTTTTCAGTGAAGGGTAGGGTATTGAAATACACCTTCCCCCCCCGTCCCCCCTCTTCTCTCTTCTTCTCCAGCAGGAGGTGGCCCTGAACTAAATAAAGCTTTAGAAGTGTCATGTTAAAAGGGCTGCTATTCCTAATTGCTAAGGCTTCACCTCCTGTGTACAGTGGCATACAAATTCTTCTTAGCTTGTTCTGTGATTCCCATCTTTAAAAAGGGGCTTCAGAATTACTTCTTGTGAACTGAAGTAGAAATGAACTCACTTAAGGCTTCTTAATATATTATAAAGAAGCAGAAAGGGCACAAATGTTTCTCCCTTTAAATATGTCATCTTTAAGTCTGCTTTTCAAAAACAGATCTACATGAAACTAAGAAGATACATGCTATACATCCAGTGAAGGCATTTTTGACAGGTGATAGTGCAGACTACTTTCAAACAGATAACAGGAATTTAGGAACTGGCAGTTTCTAAGTGGATGTTTTTGTTTTGTTTGCAGAGATACAGAACAAAGCCGTACTGCTGTAGCTTATGCAAGTTCTCGTCAAAATTGCTTACTTCATTCAAGAATCACTTGCACCGTTACCATGAGGATGAAATGGACCAAGAGCTGGTGGTTCCTTGCCCAAAATGTGCATTTGCTTCTGATCCCAAAATAGTGGGAAAACATATCCGGATGTTTCATTCATCTAATAAAAGAATACAGAACTATACAGTCAGCATTTTGGATGGCATGAAACAATTCAGGAGTGACATCATAAACTTTACATGTCTAAAATGTCACTTTACAGACACACTGTATTACAATATGAAGAAACACGTGCTGATGAACCATTTTCAAAACTTAATAAGTACATATTTTGGCCAGAAACCTGATGAAAGTAAAGAGAATTCTATTGAGCACTACTGTAAAAAATGTAATGCTTCTGCAAACAGCCAAGATTCTTTAATGTATCATGTCTTGACAGCTGAAACACACCGAGACCTGGAGAACAAACTTCGGTCTGTGATTTCAGAACACATTAAGAAACCAGGACTTGTGAAACAAGGGGCCCTGCCCCTGCCCCAGCGGGTTCCGTCACAGCTCCGGCTTGCATCCAGCTTGCATTTCCACAGAATAATCAAAACCACAGTGTGGTGCAGCCAAAAGCGGTTCAAAACACAGTCAGATCACTGACTGTTCCAAGTGCCTCTGGTAGCCTTCCACATACGACTTCTGCTCCGGTTGTTACCCCCTCGCACGTTAGTCTTGTATCTAGTAATCTCCCTGCAGGTCAGAATAACGTTAATATACAGCCATCGCCTTCCCAGCCTATCATTGTTTCCCATAGGCTCCCAGTTAATCAGCCTGTGATGGCTGGAGCCATTCCTCTTAACCATTCTCTTGGGACTGTCAATAGAACCGTGGCCCCCGCAGTTCTTCCTGTTAATCAGCCTGTCACGCCTGGGCTCTTCCCTGTTAATCAACCCATTGGTACTATAAATGGTCCGGTTGCAGCTGGAACGCTACCTGTTACTCAACCTGTCAGCCCTGTGAATCAACCGGCTGCACCAGGAGTCCTCCCTGTGAATCAGCCAGTTGCTCCAGGAGTTCTCTCTGTCAACCAGTCACTGGGGAATGTGAATAGACCCATTGGTCCCAGGGTCCTTCCTGTGGCCCAGACAGTTGCATCGGGGATGCTCCAGCTTAACCAGCCTGTTGCCTCTGGGGTTGTTCCTGTCAGACAGCCTGTCAGACCTGGGTTTCTTCAGCTTAATCAACCTGTTGCCCCAGCCGTTATCCTAGTAAATCAGCCAGTCCAACCAGCAGTTTCTCAAAATGCTTTTTTGACTGCAGGTTCTCTACTTAGGCAGTTGATTCCAACTGGTAAGCAGGTTAACGGGATACCTACGTACACACTTGCCCCGGTTTCGGTTACGTTGCCTGTACCTCCTGGTGGTGGAGTAGCAACTGTTGCGCCACCACAAGTGCCCAACCAACTGATGCAGTCTGGGACAGTATCTCAGTTGTCCCAGTCACCGGCTAGTGCACCCTCTCCTCCGGTGGTTTTAACGTCGCAGAATATGTCGTTGCAAGCCTCCCCCCTTGGTCCTGAAACAAGTCAGGCTGTCAGGCAGGCTAAGCAGTGGAAGACTTGCCCTGTCTGCAATGAGCTTTTCCCATCAAATGTCTACCAGGTGCACATGGAGGTGGCCCACAAACACGGTGAAGTAAAAATGGAGGAAACCCCGGAACCTGACAAACTTGCAGCTTGCGCACCCTTTCTAAGGTGGATGACAGAAAAGACAGTCCGGTGTTTCTCTTGTAAATGTTTTCTCTGTGAGGAAGAGCTCATGAAACATCTCTTGATGCATGGCTTAGCTTGCTTGTTTTGCACAGTTACTTTCCATGACTTAAAAAGTCTCGTGGAGCACAATAAAGCTACACACAATGGGAAAAAGCAGTTACATGCAGATTACAGCAACAGAGGATTTCAACTAGGTAACGATGCTCAGGGTGACCTTGTATTTCCACACTTTGATTTCAGTACAGTGTTACCAAAAGAAGACATTGGTGAAAGAGAAGTACATTTGGCAGTGCTTGCTGGCCTCAATTCAAGGACGCTTGTCCCTGTTTACATCAAAGTGAAACCTCAGACAGCAGAAGTGAACAATAGATGCAACAAAAAAGTGCTAACCTGTCCCTTCTGCTTTGGTACGTTTGTTAGTAAAGAAACCTATGAAATGCATTTGAAAGAGCGGCATCACATAATGCCAACTGTACATACAATTCTAAAGTCTCCTGCTTTCAAGTGCATCCACTGTTGTGGTGTGTACACTGGAAATATGACTCTAACAGCTATTGCTGTACACTTGCTCCGTTGTAGAAGTGCTCCCAAAGACAGCAACTCAAGTGTGAAGATGCAGCTTGAGCGTACTGAGAAGAAAGAGCTACTGTTTGTGAATGGTGAAAAGCATGATTCTGTGATACAGAAAAGAAAGCAATTGGATTCCTGCTTTATTGCAGAAGACCAAAGGAATAGGGAACAGCAGCCTCTGGGCTTAAGTACTGGCATAGCTTTATCTCCAGAAAAAGAAGTGAATTCAGGGGTAGTGCCTTTCAAGCGACAAAAGATTAATACTAGGACTGAAATGAAGAAGCTTCCCTCTAGTGAGGATCTTCGCATTCTAGCAGTAGATCCTAAACATTATGATCACAATTCATATGAGGCTCAAAAACAGTTTTTGACAGACTACTTTAATGAGAGGCCATATCCTTCTAAAAAAGAGATGGAGTTGCTTTCCTCGCTGCTATATGCCTGGAAAATTGATGTTGCATCGTTCTTTGGAAAAAGGAGAAATACATGCTTAAAGTCGATAAACAATCTCAAACCATCTGTGCTGTTGGGTTTCAGTATGTCTGAACTAAAAAACATTAAGCACAGTTTGAATATAAATGATGACCCATTAGATATGTAAACAAGCTTTTTATAACAGCTAAACGCAATCCATAATTGCAGACTTACGATTTAGCAGTTTATTGTATTACTTGTTTTAACTTCCAGACTGGCCTGTTGAAGGGTGCAGTAGTACAAAAAGTCTCGTTCAGTTGTGACTGTTATTGTGAAAGGCACACGTAGTTGTGTATTTGAAAAAGCTAAAGCCTTCAGACTTACACATCTGGAATTTGTTTTAGCTTTTTACTTTTTCTGGAGTAGTGGTTTTTGGGGTTGTTTTGTTCTGTTTCCCTTTTTTCCCCTCCAGGCTCCCATTACTCTTTTTATACCACCATGTAAAACATTTGTCCTGTTAAAAACAAATTTTATTTTATTTTTCTGCAATGCCGTCATCTTTTCTAAACAATAAAATGTATAATGTTGGTTAAAATACTGAGGTAAACTATGTGAGAAACATCTATTTGATTATTTGTGTTTTAAAGTCCTCCTGTTTTTTTAACCTATTTTTGTTTTACTTACTGAAGAAGTGATTGTAGCCTTTACATCCATTGCCCCTTCAAATTCCTAGTGCACTGGTAGCAATAAAATACATGGCAATCTTTTTTTTCCTCAATCAAAATACCTGTGCCAGTTAAGTCTGGTAGTATCTAAGTTAAGACTTGTAGTATCTAACTAGTATTAACATGGTGGGGATTGAGGAGCTTGGGGGTGCCTGTTGAAGTGTTAACAATGAACTGAATTGAAGTGGTTGTGTTATTATCTGTTAAATAGATCTTGCTAACCAGAAGTGTTTATTCTTTTTGTTGGTCTTGAAGCCTGGTTGTTTAAATACCTATTGTTCAAAGCCCTGGTAGCAGCATTTGGTTTCTTTTTCAAAAAGCAAAACTGTTTCGGAGAGTGTCAGATTGCTTTGGTACATGGAACATACGACTTCTGTGCTCATTACTTATCTGTAGAAGCCCTATCCAAGTATCACCAAAGTTTGCTGAAAAATCCGATTCTTATTTTAAATTGCTGTCGCATAAGGTAGTAACTGAGCAGTGCCTCCTCCCCAGCAAATGAAATACGTGGCTTGAAGTCCTTTGAGTCAGAAATTGTACAAACTGGAACTGGTTGAATTGGAAGCATCAAGACTTCAAACTGTTGAGCACCTGAACCGGTGATACTCATGTAGTGGTTGTTTTTTATTGTCCTATAGAGAGCAGAAGAGTAGTACAAAACCCGAATAGGCTGTCTTGTTCAATATGAACTGGCATCCCTATTACAGATTACAAAAAAGCTGTTGGGAAGGTTCACCTGAGTTGAGGAATGAACTATAGTACTCGGGGGCCACATGGCAGCCTTGTTTAGTACTGTCCTTTCTTTCTGGATATGCTTGGTTTCATCTGGCTTGTCAAACAGTGCCTCCAGCATTCACTAACAGCCAGTTATATCATAAATAACCTATCATATGTATTCCTCCTCTTCATCCCCCTCTCCCCACCCTTCTTTCCCAGAAGAAAAAAAAGAGCAGGCTCTTCTGTCAATTCACTTGTGCTAGTGTTAACAAGGAAAGGGTCATATGCCCAAGCTTATTTCTATTTAAGTAGTAAGCATACCTTTGCCCTGTGCAATAGTTCTTAAAGCAGATACAGAATTGGTTTTTGTGCTGTTTCTAAAAGGGTGTGATATTTTTAGCAGAATTTGTTGACTGTCCACCTGAGGGTTCTATAAGCTCTTTGAAATTCTATTTTGGATACAATCTTGATATTTTCATATTGATAACTTCAAAAAAATTCTAATTTATATGTAACATACAGTTAACTTAAACTGAGAGAATCTGCTGTTTGGAAAAGCCTAGTCATTTAATAGCAGTGTTGAACAAACATAAGCACCATTTATGGGATCGTCTGCACATCCCGCCCCAGAGAGTGGCAGTGAGTAAGAAGCGGTGTGTTCTTATAGCCTAACAAGAGCTTGTTAGAAATAAATTTTTAAAAAAGGTATTTGGGGATAGCACAGGTCATGAACCAGTTTGAAGGGCTCTGAGTGAGGAAGAGGGATGCTCTCTAGAAGTTCTGAAAGCTAGGTGCTGATTTGCACTCTTAAAACCTTGATACTGTGAGTCCTATCATCTTTGGGTAGTTCTGCTGGCACCGGTGAAACTCCAGCAGGGAGTATTTGGCAGCATGTATTTGGGGAAGGCCTGCCATGAACTGTGGAGATTGTTCCTGAGGTAACAGTGTGGCTTGGAGTGGCAAGCTGGGAAGTCATTTCAGGGTTCATCCGTGCTTGGGGCACCAAGGGAGCAGTCCAGACTTACCAGAGTTTTCCCATGTAGTGCCCTGGGGTGATGTTGAGCATTTTATTTATTGGACTTCAATTTCACAAATAAACCGGCTTTCTAACTTTCTTAGGTGTGTGTGCAAATGATTACCTATCCTCTCCCCTTCCCCCCCCTTTCCCCTCCCGCCCTTTTAATATATTCAGGGAACTTGATGTGAGTTTCTTTTGGTGCAAAATAAGACACAAAAGGAAAGTAAGGCCTAGACTAGATCCAGATGCCTTAGGTAGACCTTGGTGCGTTACAGTAATACCATGTATTATCTCAAATACTGACAGCTGTGTGTTTTCTTAGAGACTGATGTTCTTAAATCTCGATACTAATTTGCTACCACTAAATGCCCCTGCGGTTACTAAATGAGGACTGTAGAAACAAACAGAAAACGGATGAATTTTGAAATGTGAAAGGAGTGACTGAGACACAGCATGGTCGTGGTTTTCAGAAAAGCCACAGAGCCTGAAAACAGCCAAGTTACATCAGTGGCTTAACTAAATTAGGCTTTTGCTGTAGGCTTCTCACGTGCAAAGTAATTCGGTTAGGAAGTGTCAGTCTGGAAGGATACTGCTGCCCCTGCCTAGGGCTACTTGTGGGCAGTGTGACAAATGCCCCTCTGGCACTTCCCTGTGGACAGAGCCTAATGCTCTGGGTGCGTGCTGGTGGGGAAAACAAATCTACCAAAGGAGGTGCCCTCTGCACCAGACTTTCTGAATGCGAGTCCTTAAAGCACGTGGATGAAGCTCTGGTCCACTGTAGAAGTCCGGTTTGGGAAGAATGCTGTTTGGTTTGCAGGATGATTGTAGCAAGTACTTGTTCCTCATGGGAATAAAAAAAAACCCTACAGGTATACTGCTTCTGAAATGTATTGGTCTGGAGAAGTCTCTCTGTTCAAGAAATATTTTGTCATGGTGTCTTGAGTTTTTAGGCAGAAAAATTGTGCTTGTGAAATAGTGTGATAACTTACTATTTTAACTATGTAGTAGGAAGGATTATTATTATAATGTGACTCAGTCATGTTTCTTCTGTATATATTCACGTGCTGGGAGTTCAGATTGTTTGGTAAACTGGCGTTTTGGACAAAACCCCAAACACCCTTGTGATTGGTTTTCAGTATTGTGTTCTTGTGTAGAATACTACAGTTCACCATCACATCAAACTTTTTTTCCCCCTTCACTCTTTTAAGTTGTTAAGGAAAACTTAGGGGCTTATTTAAGTAGCTGTTAAATACAATTTTGGGTGTGCAATTCCCAATAAATAATTCTACTGCAGCTGGCTGTGCCATTTTCAAACACACCTTTGTCAAACTTAACTGTGGGCACATTTTTCTAGGAAAGAAACATGATGCGAAGTAGCAAAATACAGATACATGGATAAAAAAGCTGCAGTCTAATAGCAAGGGGAAAAAAAAAGACCAAAAAACCCCTTCAGAAAATGTGGCATGGCTTGTTTTAAAGAATTTTAAAGAATTTTCACTCCTTCCTCTGCAAAACGTACATGAAAAGGGCAAATTGAGGGTATTCATGAATGAAGCAGAACTTTGTGGTGCTGCATTTAAAGTCTGACCTAACACCTTGCTTTAGTGCCTACGAATCTCGTTTCTCATTTTCAGCTGTTCTGACGTGACAGCCAAGCCGCAGTTGTGACCATTTCTCTTTTTACCCGGGTGCCAGGTCCCAGAATATGTACGACAGTTCTTTTTGCTTTGAATTTGTCCGAGTTTAACATAGTGAGGGGACGTATGTGGTGCGTGCTTACAGTGCTGCCCTGTGTACTTAAGAAGGGTGTGGGTCTGCAGGTATTGGCAACATGAACACAGGCTGGGTGCCCATATTCTAATTCCACATAAACTACTCTTTATTAACACAGTGTTTTACCGAGCAATATGTGAAGAGCACCTTATAATAAAATCAGGGGATGGTAGAGGCCTTGAGTATTTTTGCACACGTAGTTCTTATTTTGACTGCCTGTCTGTTAAATGGGCGTAATAGCAGTTCCTAGCATATAACGTGGGTGAGTATCTTAAGACTATGAGATCGGTAAAGTATTTTACGCATCGAGCTGCACTGAGTAAGCTGAGTATGGAACAGCTGACAGTGTGTGTGCATGACTGAAAGCCATCAGGCATGGACATTTCTGGAGAAAGATCTGATTAATTGTATTATTAGAGTCAGCATCATTTTGGCTTACAATCCATTTGGAATTGAAAAAGGTAGTAAATTTTGAATGGAGCAAGAAGTCTGTAAAGCAGTACTGCTATCCATTTGCTGCATGGGTGTGAGACAGAGACTTGCTAAGGAAAGCACCTGTGGCTTTAGGTAACTCAGTTGTTCTCAGTGTGGTGTAGTACGTTGATGGTAGTGAATGAAAGGGCTGCGAGTGAGATGTGGGGTGTGGCAGTCTTCCTGGTGCGGTTGCTGTGGTCTTTGCTGCTGGTTCTTGGCTGGCCTACATCTAACTGGCATTCGAGCAGCTGTCGTATGCGCAGTTGCAGGAGAATGCACTGTTATGGATGGATGGAAAAATGCCAAGACACCAACTCAAGCGCAAGTCAAGTAGTACTAACAAATGAGTAGCAGAAGAGACATTACAGAGAAGCACTGTAGATTTTTAGTTGTTCTTTGCAGAAAAAGTGAAAGGGGTGAGGAGTTCCCCTGGCAGTTTCCAGTCTCCACTGAGAGATGTGGAAGACTCTCTCTTGTGGACTGGGCTTGTTAGCTGTACAGTCACACACATGGTATGTCAGCAGCGTCGCCTTTTAGAAAAGCTGATGCAGAAAGCATGCTATTGGAGTCTCTGTGAGATACTACCTTTCACACATGAGGACCTAATTCTGGAACATGCAATCTGAAATAATTTCTAGGTCATGAATCATAGAATTATTTAGGTTGGAAAAGACTTTTAAAGTCATCAAGTCCAACTGTTAACCTAACACTGCCATCCCACCACTAAACCATGTCCCTAAGCACCTCTTCTAAACGTCTTAAATACTTCCAAGGATTCAAGCACTTCCCTGGGCAGCCCATTCCAATGCTTAATAACCCTTTCTGTGAAAAAAATTTTCCTAATGTCCAGCCTAAACCTGCCCTGGTGCAACTTGAGGCCATTTCCCCTCGTCCTATTGCCCGTTACCTGGAAGAAGAGACCGACCCCCACCTCACAACAACCTCCGTTCAGGCAGTTACAGGGGGTGATAAGGTCTCCTCTCAGCCTCCTTTTCTCCAGGCTAAACAAGTGAAGGACAAGTACCCTTAAGAGCTTCGTTTATTAAGTCAGTTTGCATAGCAAATACATGCAGTGTTGTCCATCTGCCACAGGACTGGCACCATGTACTGTGCTAGAGACTAAGAACTGAATGACCAGCTTTTCAGAGCTCTCAGAACAGTCTCTTCTGATCTGGGCAGAGAATTAGAGTTGCAAGGGCATTACTTATCCCAAAACAGGGACCTTTTAAAGTATTGGCAGTCTGCTGCATGTGTGACCATGCGCGTGACCAGCTTCTGCCTGATTAACGCTACAGTGGCTGAACGTGATCCTCAATGGAGCTAAGTGTAAGGTGGGCTGGTCAACAGCCCATGTGTTAGCAGAAGATGGAAGGCAGAGCGTGAGCAGCACAGCTGAATCTATTCTGTCTTGGATTGCTTATTTTGGAGTAAGCTCATTTAAGGTTAGCTGTTGGGACTGATCTTATTAATGATGTGAAAAGTGCAAGTCTATTAACCAAATTTGTTAATGGACGAAAAGCTGTCAGGCAGCATTGCTGTAGAGAAGAGCCAGTACCGTATTTGAAGGACTTGAGGGCTGGGACTAAATACAGCAATGTCATGATTTATAGACATGCGTGCGTACAGGTTAGCCAGTGTAGACAGATTAACTGACTTGGCTGCTGCTCCTCAGAGCCAGCGGTAGCCTTGGCACAAACAGGTTGAAGTGTGACCACCTGTGCATCAGCGTGGGATCACACACAGGCCACACTTGGGCCAGGGCCCTGAGATTTGGAACCAATGAGTGCAGTTTGGGCAGAAAGCTGGCTTTGAGATGAACACAAGCACTTTAGCTGAGGGGAGGTGTGTGAGGCGGCTGCACCTGGGAGAAAGGGGGTGGCTGCCCAGGCTCGGGACTGGGCCTCATGCGTTTCAGTGGGTGAGGGTTGCCAGCAGCAGCACCAGTGAGGACATCAGCCCTTTATCCCGGTGGGTGCTGGCAGGTGAGGGCCTCTCCTGCCAACTGAGCTGCTCTGCTGCAGCTCTTGAGGGTTGCTACCGCACGGAGCAGCAGTGCCACCCGCTGCCAGGCCTCCAGAGGCCTCACTCCATGCGTTTTAGGTGCCGGTACATGCCTCTGGGAACCTGCAGAGGATGTCTGGGCCCAAGTGCCAGGAAGTAACGAGAGAAATGAGCCGGTAGCAAGTGCAGCACCATGCTGGGCAGTCTCTGTGGGAACCATTGCCCACTGGCTCCTGCAGAAAGATCTGCCCTGGGGACAGGGTGAAAGTCCAGGTAGTGAGGGCAGGGTGCTTGCCGTGCTCAGGACATCCAGCTGCATTTCACCTCAGCTGGAGCAGTGCCTTGGAGGGGAGTGGGAGCCGTAAGAAATGGCATGAGGGATGGCTGCTGTGGGCGAATTTCCGAAACGTCTGAGAGGACAGGGGGCTGTGCCTTGCGCTCGCTTTCTCTTTATGGAATGTGTTTGGAAGGACCCGGGCTTTGCTGAACGTGGCCTTGACCAGAGGCGGGTTCGAGCAGGTTCCTGCAGAAGCGAGGAGGGCAGAGAGGAGCTGGAGTCCCTGGATGCTGGGGGGGCTGCAGGAGTGGGCAGCAGCACGGGGGAGCCTCTCCAGGGCCCCTCTGAGGTGTGAGGCCGAGCTGGCTGGTGCTGCTGCACATAAGGGGCTGCCAGGGGACCGCGTCTCCTTGGGCAGAGCAGAGGTCCTTCTTGCAAGCCAGACCTCTGCCACCAGATTCTTCTGATACCATTTCTGGTTTTTATCGGGTATATTAGCTAGGACCAGAGGCTTTCTAACAAAAGTCATTCCAAAGTATTACTCTTCTAAGAAATAAAATGTGAAATACTTATATAAAAAGTTAAAACAGTCTAATAAAAATTACTCAAAAATTGCACATACAATTCTGAATGCTTTAGTCTGGGGGAGGAAGGCATGGACTAGAAGAAGAATAACATCAGTAAATCCTCCTGATAGTTCAAGGCTCCTGGGGAGCTTGCTCCTCAAGAACTCAGCAAAAAGATGTATTTTTTAAAAATGAAAGACAACATTTTCTCAGAGCAGATGCTTCTGTGTGCGTCCTACTGTTTCGGTTGCCCTAAGCCACAGGTACCTCTGGGGCAACAAGGTCAACTTGCCATAGAAATACCTGAAAGTACTGGTGTGGGTTTCACACTCTTTGTCTGGTTTTGGAGTAGCTGGAAGAGAAGTGATAACTGCCTTGCGAGATCTTTGCTATTTTCATGACTTTTGCTTTGTCACTGAACATTGTTAGATCTACTTGGTTTTGCTGGCCAGATTTTCACGCTGTAGATGGAGTATTTGCATCATGCTGAGAAATACATATCTCTCTTCGGGAAATCTGGAGCCATAAAACTTTTTATTACAGTGACCTTACTATTAGAAGATGTTTAGCTGGTGGGGCCAGCCCCATTCCCTCACTGGGTGGAAGGAGGTGGATTTTTAAAGGAATTAGAATGGCAAAGATTTACACAGGCAGTTTTAGACAGAGGAATTCACAAGCCATGTAAACTGAGATAGGCGAGATGTGCTGGGAACACTACGCTGGTGACAAGCCCTGAGCAGGGCGATAAACCTGGCAAGGCTGGGTTTTGTTTTGTGTTTTTTTTTCTTCCCTCTATACTGCTAAATAAAAATATACTGTTTGTGCTTGTTTGACAGGTCAGCTTCCGTTCACCTATCCCATTTCCATGAGGGGTCTGAACTGCAGTCTGTAACACATGGGGGAGGTGCAGTCTGAGGCCTCCAGAAGCTGGGTGAGATGTCCCTGAGAGGAAAGACCTTCTCTGGAGAACGAGCCTGAAGAATGAGTGGGAGCAATACTGGGTGCTGTTTTAATCCAAGACTAATGTGCATTTAGTGGGGGGTGGTTTCAGGGCCAGCACAATAGAGAATGATCACCCGTGCTGCAACCAGTGCAGGGAGTCCCAGAAACCACACAGAGGGCTGCAAAGGAGAAGCAGAGGGACAGGTCAGGCATGTAGCTGAGGCACAGTGCAAGGACATCCCTGCCTCACCTTGCAACCTTTTTCTTTTCAACAGCAGATTATATACATTGCACCCAGGTGGTTGTACATCAAACAATTCAGCGTTGCCTTAACTAGAGCGAGGGCGCTGTGCCCTGATGGTCACAGGGGGGGCAGGTTGTTCACTTTGTGAACTGTTTA